ATTCATTTAAAGAACAAATGCTCTTATAAACTTTTATAATAACAAAACATAATCAAATACCTCATTCAAGAGTCGGCCAAAAACGGCCGATGCCGATTCTTTTGGACGATGCTAGCCTCGGCATCGGCTGATTAATCGGTCGGACTCTAATATTTAGATTAATGTCGTTTCCCTCTTTTACATGAAATGAGCCAAAAGAAAATTAATACATAAAATTAGTTTTTAAAAAGTAAATTAAAAAATAGATATCTTCTTTTCAAAAATAAAAAATCTGATAAATTTGTTGTTAATTTAAATTAAAAAAGAAACCATTTTAAATTAAAAAATATATGAAAAACTCCGCTGCGCCAGGACTTGAACTCGGATAACTCGATTGGCATTCCTGTGCTTTTCCCATTCGGCCATTGCGGCTATGACGCGCGCTAAATGATATGCAAGTGCTTTCTCTTAAAATACTTTTCACCACGAGTGGTGAATGAGAGAGCTTTTCTTCTAAGACTTTTGTGCTACACTGAGAAAAAAATCAACCAAAAAGTAGTTCATATTACCTAATTCAAACTTAAAAAGGGATCACTGTGATTCTTAATTAATATTTCCAATCAAACCATAACTTGGTTGAAAAAACTATTGTGCTTTTGGCTCAGTGTAGAATAGCAAAATTAGTTCTAACTATCTTGCCATCTGCCTTTCGTTTGTCTTACGAATGGCTTTTTACTATCTTATCTGGAATTTCCCCTTAAGATGAAGAAGAAGAATAAGGAAATGGTTGTCTTTTTGGTACTTAAAAATTCACTGCAAGTAGCCGCTTTCGATTCGCTACTTCTATGTTTGCTTAAAGGCGACTTTATTTACAATAGAAAACAAATTAAGGAAAAGCAACAAGTGGATTAGCGAGCAGGAGCAAGTAATACCTGTTTAGCTCATTAGGGTTTGTTTAAACCATGCCTTGGTGGCGGCGACTGCGTAATACGTTGACGGCGAAAGTTAATAAATTTAAGCGAAATTTCTTAATTTCATCAAAATTTGCCAATAAATTACGAATGAGCCCTAAATTAAGATAGTGTGTCCAGACTAGTATACTATTCCTCACAGAAAGTGGTTTTACATGGCGGGTCTCAAAACCGAATAGTCGCAGTGGCCCCACCGATGCTCGCTCTCTTTCTGCCGTAACCCAAGGCTTCCCTCGGATTGGTGTACCGCATCTCGTACATGGGTTGCTCATTTTGCCCAGAGTGCGCGAACGACGACGCAAGAAGCGGCACTGAGTTAAGCCATGCAACTGTAACTGCATATCCAGAACAACGTCTGCATATACCTAATTGCTCTCCGAACGAACAACTACTTAGAACCAAAGCCATGCGCCCTTATCAACTCCTCGCCACCGCACAAGGTGTTACCATTTCAAATGAATATCCCTGTGCCGCTACATCTAAATTGTGTGCGAAATTTAAGCTCGATTGCTTTAAAATTGTGGAGCCGAGATTAGGTACGTGCGTAGATTGAGTTACAATATATGAAATAACCTCGATTAAGGCCATCAAACTCCCTACCTTTCATTGTGGCCATCATCTTCTTTCACAATAAAATCACACATATGTATGTACATACTTAAAACAAGTATACCTACATACATACATACTACATGACACATAGTTAGCCCAAACCCCGCCTTCACTTAGCTTTCCATTCATTCCAATTCAATTTCAACTTCATGCAACTACAGCTGTTCCAAATTGCAACAAAAGACAATAAGACAAAAACGAATAAATTAAATCCCTGTACGAAAAATAGAAATTGCAGAAAAATTAGACAGCACCAGAGACGATAGCGTTGGCGATGGGGTGAAATAACGGTGAAAGCTTTATATGCACAGCCAAACCATTCAACTGTCGTGATTGCAGTTTTTTTCAGCTTCTCTCGCCATCACTTCTTTCACTCCACCCTTCTGCGCGCCAGCCATAATGATGTCATTAATGCGAATTTAATTAAACTGAAACCTTTTGTTCCAAGTCTGTAACGAAAAAGCACCTGAATTGTGAAAGAAGACACCTGGGATAGAGAGGGATTTTTATGTGACGACACATTAACCACAGACACTGATGAATAAGTCTATACAATTAAAGATGTGGTGCATTGGATATGTACCTATGTACTATGTAGATATGTTTATGAACATGTAAATAATGTACATGTAAACACTGAGCTTACCTAAATTGCTTTCTATGTGTAGATACTAACTAATTTCTGAACTTAAGTTCTAGGATCTTGTTCTAATTTAAATAAGTTCCTTTGGATAACTGCGGCATGCATTATTCCCTAAAACCATTTTTGTATAGAAATGTACAATAGGGCGGGTAATTTTTTTTTACTATACACGTATAGGGTAGGATGATTCCGCGTGTAGTTCTAAGCAAATTTGCCGAAGAAACCGTAGGTCTAAAATCAATTTGGAGTTTGGCAAATTGCGAAAATATGTTTCAAAGAAAATATGAAAATTTGCACTGTTGCGCCCTCTGTTGGAAGTTTTAAGAAGAAGATAAGCGCCGAAATAGATTCCTCATACCAAAAAGACCCCTTACATCATGACTTCATACAAAATTTAAGCATTTGTTTACGACACTACAGCAAAATTCTAACTTCAAATTGATGATAGATCCATGGTTTCTTCGGCAAATTTGCTTAGAATTAGATGTAGAATCCTTCTGTCGAAAAAAAATCTCCCATACAAATTGACCCGCCCTAATGTACACCGATTGCTAAGCCTTTTTTAAGCGTAATCAAGCACCCTTCTGAATTCAATGATTTTCAGTTCTTTATTGCCAAAATCCCAAGCTGTAAGTCATTGAACTGTTCAAAGAGTATATCTACCTTAAACGTTATACACTCTACTCTAAGCTTGATTTTTTTCACAACAGGTACCAGATTACTACTAAAATCTTTTCAGTTACCTCTTCCAGAGATGTAGAGAATACTCGGCCCTACTTTCTTCCTGTTTCCACTCATGGGATTGAGTTGAGTTGAATTTTCTAAAGGGATAATAGATTGATCCTTCTAATTCTCATGGTCCTACTAAGGGATTTATGCACCTGGGCCTGGTGTTAGTTTGTCGAGCAAAGTTTCTACTTTTCAGTTGTACACCGAGCCTTTTATAGAACCTATTATCTACAGCTAATACTTGTTTGACTTTTAGACTTGCGTTGTTGGTGGTTTTTCACTGATTCCGGTGCATAGAAAAACGTTAAAAGTTTCGATCACTTCAAAAAAACTTTAAGACGATTTTTTTTCCAGAAGTCTATTCATAGCACTTACCTCCAGTTAATGCAAATATTTTATTCTTCATGATTATATTTTCAAAATGTTTTTGTATTAATAGCGTTGAATCTGAACGATCCATAAGCAGTTATATTTCCGGATCAGACTCTTGAGTTAGCTCACTTTCCATATATATACATATAGTGGCGTTCAAAAGTGGATGAATGGTGTTTCGTATTTAATATTTACCATGTTCTTCAATCAATCATTTTTGTGATTTTTTCGCATAAAAATATATTTCATGGTTTAACAAAAATCATATAAATCGCAATTTCAAACTTTATACAGAATTCAGAAGAATTCCACAAATTTGTATCTAAATGTCGAGATTTGTAACCAGAATTTTTTAAAAAATTTTAGGTATGTAGTTAACAGGATTATAAAATTTTAATAAAAATTTGTGCAATTTTTGAGCGGCTGGAAAATCGCATTGATTTTCAATATTTATTTATTTTTTGACTGCGTTTTGCAAAATTTTTCACATGAACATGAATTTTCATTGGTAGAACATGCGAAAGACCTGTTTCGAAAAAAAAATGAAAAAGTCACTGCCAGTTTTCCCTACTTTCTCTATTTGTATGAAAAAAAACCGCAAAAGCCGTCATCAAAAAAAAATATTAAAAATCAATGTTCGTATTTAAAAATAATATTTTCATACCAAAATTTACCACGCACGTGCTTGTATGTCCACATCTTAGTATGTATAATAAATATGTAAGTGTACTGTATCTGTGAAGTATTTGTGGAGTGCAGAAGGAAAGCATATTGAACGAAAAATTCGATCAGACAAATTTAATAAAATAATAATTTAAAAACAGCCAAAAAGTATACGTTTCGCAAACAATTTTCGGTACTTGTCTGTACATACGTTTCTGACGCACACTTTAGTGGGAAAACGGATCGTCAAAGTATCCGCAAACGGTATCTGTAAACGAGCAAAAGTCCGCACTTCATCCACTTTTTTCCTTTTCCGGATGTTCGGATTTTTTCCTGGTTGGGTACTTATTTTCGTTGACGTTTATAGTAAGCTTAATTACGTTTCTAATTGATTATAATATTATTATAGGTTTGTTCCATAAGCTACTTGTAGAAAAACTCGAGCAAAGTTCAAACTGTCAGCGTATATCAAATAAACTCTAAAAACTTACTTGTGAAACGCGTATGTGTAACTCGAAGTGACTTCGAGTAGCTTGTGGAACAAACCTAATATTTATTTCCCTCAGTGTAGGCAATGCTCCTTAGCACTTTTGTGCCCCAAAATTATGAGTTTTGAATCATTAGTTTTTTTTTTTGGGAGAATAGACATACGGCAGCGTTGATCCGGATTAACTCGTTATTTAGATAAAGACTGGGATTGAATTGAACAAGGAATGCTTTAAGGCAAAATTAACTTGCATAGTGTGGCCCATATGAAATCCTTTAATTTTTTCAGCTCCCAAAATGATTTTTACCAATTTTCAATGTTTTGGTATTTAACCTTTTCTTATTCCAATAATTTGACTATAGACTAAGTGACTAACATCAGTCAAGAGACGGTGAAGTCATTCATTGCGTAAATATTTCAAATTTTAGTAAACTACTAGTCTCTAACAAGAGCTCAGAATTGTTTACAAATCTAAACTTTGTATAAATCAATAATAATTAACAGGTATAATAATGTATATTTGTTTTAATGTTGTTACTTTCAGAACGTTCTCTTTGCTATCGGTTCGGCATTCTTGTACTACGTCAACCATTTCAAACTGTACTCATCATTTTGCGCCAGCCATAGTAAGGCCCAGAAAGTTTTGCATCCCAGTAAGTAAATTTGCTATGTAACTGTACATATTTGTACTGAAGTCTTATTTCAGTTCATATATTGAAATTTTTAAGTACATATGACAGATCAATACACCAAATTCGACTGTTTTGAACACATACATATGTATAGATATATACATTAGACCGTACAAATACATACATGTTTTGCAAGGCAATTTCGTATTTTTACACTTGCATTAACAATCGGGTCGTTAAGTATGATTTATCGATGTTCTTGTGAGTAAGTACTAGTACGGGCTTTTTTAGGTCAACGAACTTTGAAACGAAAAACATTGTCTCCTGCCGACAAAAACATCAATATATCACACTTAAAGATCCAACTGCAAATGCCGAGGGTATGAAGAAAGGCCCTTACGATTGGCCCTTACGATCGGTTAAAAGAAAAATCGAAACAGCCTTCGAATCGAAATACTTCCTTAGCAAAAGTTTAATGATTTTTGGCCAGCTTTAATTTACTGGCTTTCGGTCAAAAATATCTTTGGCCCAAATAAAAGCAAAAATATCTTTTTTCGAAATCGCCTTACAAAAATGCTTTAGACTCAGAGAGGTGCAGCCAACTTGTGTAAGGTGTTACGGTCTAATGTACGTCAACCAGCCCAGAGTCCTGCCCAAAATTCCAATTACTGAAAATGAACACGCCCTTTAACTGAAACGTGGCGAAGTAAAAAATTCAAAATTGCGTCTTTACTACATCGCTTTAAGGAGGGGGTTAAATGGAGTGAAGGAGGGTTGCCAGAAGGAGATCATGGGTGTAAATTTTGCAGCACATGGAGTCATGAAATTTCGTACCTTGAATTTGCCTTTCCTCGCTAGCTCATCAGCCCTGCAATTTGATTCCTCTATTTCCCGCAACCAATATAAAGCTGGCCTTGAAGACGGTGCTAGTATCGTTTAGAGCGCCCCGATATCCTTATGCAACCTTTGATGGTTGCATAGGCGTATTCTTGATTTGATGGCCGCCTGACTATCCGGGGAGACATTTATCGTATTTGTCGTTACGGCATGTGTACTAATAATCCTAGTCGTTAGAGAAAACTCCATAGCCGACCCTATTATCAAGCTTGGAATCATCCGTTTAGAGATTTAGTTCACCCATTCTGCATTCTTGACGCTCTCCTCGTGACGGGATGTTATTTGAACCTTACTCAGGAGTTTTTGGTAATTTTCTTTTGCGCCACATCCTAATGGTAATAGTAATGAAGAAATCATACTAGAAAATAAATAAAATCTTCATATTTACAGTTCCTTTTAATAAAAAATTATCTAAGCTAAATGCGATTCACTGAACTAACGGTTAATTTTGCTGTTGCTCCTTTTGTATATAGTAATTTGGAATTGTTATTGAAGAAATGTTTAATCTTAAATCAGCAAAATAGATTTGTTAAATTGATACACCATACTATTTTTGACGCATACATACAGAAGTACAGGACGTACTTCTTTGCGCTCTGAAATAGTTGGTCACATTACCCAGTTACCCAGAGGAGATGAGCATGTTACTCATACGCCATGCACGCCCGTTCGATTTTATTTTTTCCGTGATAAATGTTAGGTACATCCAATATGGATCCGCCATTTAAGTCTAATTTCAGACTCATAATCGGCGATCTTAAGAACCCCTAATTGTAAAGTTTTAAGCGAAAGCAATCGATTTCGATTCTTTGGCCGCCCTACGTAGCCCCCCAAGTAACGTATTCTAAAAAAATCGATAAATTTAAAAAAAAATCCTCCCCATATTGGAGCCGCCATTTTGAACTTAAACAAAAATGGCGTCAGACAGAAAACAGTAAAAAAAAAAACAAAATAAAATTTAAAAGATGTATACGCTTCTTTTATACAGGCTTACGTATTGAATACTTAAGCAATACACATCTATACTTGTACTTACATTTAAATGTGCTTATGTACATACATATATTTTAATCGTATGTATATATGTACATACATTTGATTTCTTGTTAGCATAAACCGCATTTTAATCTATATTACATCCTTATATACATACATACATATGTACGTCTGTGTGGCATACATAAAGTATGCGTGTAGCTCCAAGAATCCTATTAAATGGAAAATGAAATCGAACTCGAACCAATTTACACGAAAACACCTGAATTTAGTAAAGTTTGAATGAGGTAGTTAACTACAGGTACGAATAACATATGTATGTGCATGATTATGTATATGTACTGGAGGACTAATATCCGTATATACATATGTATGTTTGCACATACATGTACGTAAATATTTACAGTGTGACTGAAAACATACTTGTTAACAACACCACCACCACCACCATAACCACCACCTGCGCATTATTTAAGCGGTTACGCGTCAGAGACTTTGAAAGTTTTGAGAATATAAATATACATACATATATATGTATAATGTACGCTCTAGGGGTGTTAATTTTTCAGCTTTTTCCGATTCAGGGATTAGTCCCGGGATTTAGGTACTCCTTTCTTTTCAACAAATTAAATCGAAAAAATTGCTCGTCGCTGGAATAATGAAATAGTGTAACATGAAAAGTATAGTTTTGAGAAAAACGAATTGGAAGTTTTTATAAAGCATTACAAACAATACAAATACAATTTCGTTTTTCGGGAATAAATTAGTGAGCCAAAGAAATATTTAAGAAAACTAAAGATTTTTCTAATAGATTAAAGGATTGTCCATCCAATGGTGCAATTATGTTATCGAGTTTATATAAGCCCTGAATATATAATTTTTTCAAAAACAAATATTGCGAAATTTTAAATTTAAAATTTCTCACATTTCTCTGAATTTTTTAAATCATTTTGAATTACTCACGTCAGAGTGAAAAACTAAAAATGAAATTTTACTATATTTGCCACATGGTTTCGCGAATATATTAATATTTGTGTTTAAAATTTGCTATCGCGCGCTGTTTTATGTATAACGTCTAGCTCATTATTTAAAAAAAAAAAAAATATTTAAAAGGAGTTTCTATTATTGCCATTACTGCAAATTACAAATCCCGAAAAGCTCGGAATTATTTGCCAAGAGTACCGGGATTTTAGGGACCTTAAAAAGGCCGGGATCCCGGGATTAACATTCCTAGTATATACATATGCGAATGTTGGATATTGTATGCCATTCCCTTGGCCAAAAGTCTATCGCGACATCTCTCTTTTTGCGGTTTCCAGCTCTGTGCCAGCTGCTGTAAAGCAACATTGTAATTTCACATGTTTAATGTTCATCGAAATTCAAAATGAGTTTATGCCCAGTAGGGAAATGGTTCTAGAGAATTTACTTTGGATTCAGCAAAGTTGCGAATACTGAAGAGAAATGTTTAGTTATAAAATGAGTACTCCGATTCTATAGAAAATTATGAAGTTTTAATTGTGTTTGCTTCTTGCTTCAAAGTGAAAAGAGCAGACTTTTCGCCTTCAAGTTTTGAAAAGTAAAATAGCATAGTTTTGTAAAGTACCACATTTCGCTGCTTTTGAACTACACAGAGGGGAAAAAAATGAAATTAATCAGAAACGACAACGAAAGTACTGTATAATGCAAGTCAAGTTTTCCCTACAAGGCACCCACTAGTGTTTGTACATACATATTTCGCATTTAACAATGTCACACATTATGCCCCTGCCTATCGCAGATCGTATTCAGCGTGTACTTACAAGTGTTGTACTTCAATCACAATCGAGTATGCATTAAAATATAAACAAAGCACACAATGCTTTGCCTGAGTAAATAAATGGTGAAGTGTGAGAGTAGCATTAAATATCCGTACCATAAACAATTAATGAAAAACATACATACATACAAAAGATGTCGTTCCTTACGCTAAAACTCTGACTCCACTGCGTCAAATGTCATGATATGTACATATGAGCAATTGTTCAATTTTTCGACAAAACTAAATAGAGGAAGATTTCATTGCTAAATTGTATTTAAATGAAATCTTAATAAAGACATACTAAAAAGAAAAGTCAAAATAACAACTCCTGCTCATATACCCGTATTTGTGTATGTAACGTATACGTCCCGTAGCACCATACACCACCGACTAACACGTCTAATCGCACGCAGTGTTGCCACTTGCAAATATTTTTAGGTACCAAAATGCCTACCAAATCAGTTTCCAAACTACCAAAATTTGCTCATCATTAAAACGAGATTTCTCGAGTTTTCGGGGTTTTTTAGCTACACAAATTTGCAGTAAAAATTAAAACTACACATAATATTGTTAACAGTATTGGTTAACCATTCACACCAATCGTTCAGATTAAACAAAAGAAATTCGGGCATTTAAATAAAAGAATTAACGTATTGTATGGTATTTGGGAAATGAGTTTTTGTTTTGTTTGTTGTTGACATACTGGGAGCATGCCTTTCGCCAACCACAACATGACCGATTTGGTTTCTCGTTTTTCGATCTGGAAATAGTCACGTAGCGTGACAGCAGACGGTGCCACACCCCATACCTACAGCTTGAACGAATATGGATATTGTGGCTATTTTCCGATCGGGGCAACCGGACAACCGGTCTTCGAAATTATGCGATGTGGGACTTTTTTGAATACCAACATATGTCCAAGATATTGGTGAATATATGTGTGTATTGAAAGAAACCGCCAAAAATTATCTCAAAAGCTTAAACGCTTGAAAGCAGTCCCGAAACGGCTGAATGACGTAGTGCGGCTTCATAAACATGGCTTTACAACTCAACACTGCGATGCTGAGATCACAGAGATGCATTTTTAATCGGCTTTATTTAGGTACATTTTTTGCTTTTTGGTCAAATCGAGTGATAGAAATTTCATGTTGATCTGAAATTCGGTACACACCTTTAGTTGTGATGACAATACAATATCATTGTAAATCCAATATGGCCACCGCCACAAAATGGCGGATAATATTTCTTTTTTCGATTCCCGCAATATGGGTATAATATGAAGGGTTTTGACTAGTACAGTACAGTACATTATGAACAATGGCGGATTATA